AAAAGCGGTTTTTCCCATTGTGCGCGCGTGTCTGCGACGCAACGACGATCGATGCTCCTTCTGTATCCGCTCGCGCCCCTCGCGCGCTCTCGTTCTTGTTCTGAGTCTTGAGCTTTTTATCTTTTTTCCTCTATTTTGATCTTACATTTGGTCTATTTAGGATCAATTGTGTGATCAGAAGTCTTATCCAAGTTGCTGCGATCTTTTCTAGAGATGATCTTTGAGACTCATAGACGATCGAGAGTAAAATGTCGTAGAGATAAAAAAATATGGTCAGAGATATCTGTATAACATGGGTTTCAGGAACCGTACGATAACAAGTCGCACTTGATAAGAATTGATAAGATTTAGAGTCTGTGTGAGGCGCATCAATAATTCTGGTTGATATAAATGAGGACCGTTGTGCTGTGAGCCACAGCAATAATCTTATTCCTTGCTCGGAAGTTCGGAGAATTCCAGCGTTATCGTATCTTTTCAATTAAAAAAAACTTGCACGTTCGTCGGGAACCATCTTCATGATTTTCGAAGATGAAGCAGCCAGCAAAATTGGGTGGACGGCAGTCCGATTCCGAGCGGCGCGGGCCGGGGCGCGAAATGACGGCCAATTCGTCCTCGTTACCGTTCCTACAGCCGCGTGACGCGACGACGCGTGGGTCTGTAAAACGATGCAGGATTTTTTTTAGAGGCTACGTCGTACACGCCGTAACCTTTTAACCCCTCATTTTCGAGCTATTTATAAATTGCAGCGCGCGGGCGCAATAGCAGCGGACACCGAGAGCTAGAGCTTGTTTCTAGGCGACGCCAAGTCTAGTTTCTTGTTTTCTAGGATCCCATAGTTGTTTCATGCACCTCTCGTCGAGATCCGAGTCAACTTCATCCTAGATACCATACACATAAAAGATAAATAAGAAAAAAAGCTAGATCGGGTTCCACGGCAAACGGACGGAAGAGATAATGAATGGTCAGCAAAGCATTTACATTTATCTCTGTATTGCTTTTTGCTCCGACCTGTAGAGGTACCAGTGGAGAAGACGAAAGAAAGGTCAAAGGGTGATCTATTTGTGCAACTCATATAGATAATTTTTTTATTTCCGTCCCGTTGCCCGCCATCGATTCGGAAAGTCAACGATCAATGCTTTTCGGGACGATAAATCGACACGGGGATAATAGCGTAATACGATGTAACGGGACGTGCATAAAAGCCCGTGAAATCAGAGTTAAAAACTCTTCCCTCTTCCAGTCTCTTGCTTGCACGAGTTTGAAAACAATCGAAGTTTCCAGGCACTAAAAGTTTCTAAACTCTCCGAAAGGAGGAGGATCCGTCGGAGAACTGTAGTCACAACGAACTTTTCCGAAAAATTCGGAGGAACATCCTGAGAAATGAAGGTTCCCGCGCCAATAGAATTTCGACCGGGCGAGGGATTTGCGGTACGAAAACTCGATTGGGGCCCTCTTCGCGCGCGCGCGCGCGCGCGCGCGAGAGAGAGAGAGAGAGAGAGAGATGTTTTTGCGTGTGCACATCTTAGCGCAACGTCTCGGACGACAGCGATTATTAAACGTGAATCACGCGCTTCTGGAGCAACGCTTATGATTCGTGTTGTTGGTCCTCTTATCTTTTATATCGCATGCACAGCAACGTCGTGCTTTATCTACACGACTTGTTGTTACTCTTTCTTGTTGATAAACTTTTATTGATAAATTGAACGGGCATTCTCTAGGCATTCTCGAACGAGTCTCGTATTTTTAACACGACGCGCGATACTCTATCAGCTACGTGATGCTTCGACCTGGCAGTTTTTCTTTACTCGAGTTTCTCCTCTCTCCCTCTCACCTCTCCCCCGGCCCCTCCTCTCTCTCTCTCT